ATCCCAAGCATGCATCAAAAAGATATCAAATTAATGTGCTACAAGCATAATATATTTAATATAACTTGTAAAGGGCAATCATCAAGTAATTTAACAGAACATGGTTTGTGTATACTTTTATATGTGTATATATATTATTATATATTTTAATGTGAAGTAGAATAGAACCATTATCTTACTGAATTATTCAAATTTAATTTTATAATTTTCTTTTCCTCACCTTTCAAATTCTTTTCACAAAATTCATTGTCTTGCCAAATAAATGGACATTTAAAGAATATAAATTAAACTCCTTTGAAGAATCATAGAACCTAGTAATCTTCATAGAAACCAGTAAGTCTTGCCTCTCATCCTTTCCAGGTGCACCTTTGTTTTAAGTGATTTCTCAAATTACACATACTTAGAAATTTCACCAGTTACAAACCACACATCTCCATTCTAGCAATGAAATTCATCATTTCAACCTCGTATTTTGAAAAGGAACTTGTAAAAACAAAAGTAAACTAATCATTTAGTCTCCAAATTAGACTGAGTCAAAGAAATAGGATTTCATAAAATCTTAGAACTGGAGAAAACCTAAAAATATTGTTCAATCCAGCCAACCATTAAAAATTATGCAGAAAACTGGAGAATCTAGAGAAACCACAGTCTTTTAAGGAAAGTGGTCTGATTAGAAATAATTAGAGCAGAACACAAAGCTGGACTCAAACAACTGAATGAGGAGAGTTCTTTTTTAAAAACACCAACAATAGAAAGTTCTTGTTAAAATAATGATAAAAATGTAAATCAAGTTGCATTTAGCTTGATTAGCCCAGTAAAGTGCTTCAAAAGAGCTGTGTCAACTCTTTTATGTAAAGGCTTCAGATTAGCAGGTTCAGAAGGCACTCCCCTCGGGGTGAAAACTGTCTTCAGTTACCCTGCTTAACTGGCAGCAGGTTTGCTTCCTTGTCACAGCAAGTGCCCTGGACATTTATTTAAATACCCTCACAATTCTTGCTCACTCTTTCCAGGCTCTAAAAACTCCTCAAAAGATTATTTTCCAAGCACAGAGGAGCATCCCTTTTTGCTGTTTTTCCCAAGGAGAAATCCTTGACTGAGAAAGATAAGATCGTTGTCTCTAAAAGCTATTTAAGAAATCATGCTGTGTATCTCAGCAAAGAACGCACAGCCACCGAGCACCATGGGTTCGTTCCAGATGGAGAAAGAGAAGCCCTTGGGTGGAAACCTCACTGAAATAACATTATGGCTATAACTTCATGTGAACATGAGGTGGATCAGGGTTACAGTTCCCATGACATTCATTCCAAAGCATTTCAACACCATGTACAAGTCTTATTTGCTTTTAAACGTCCGCTGAAATGGAAGAAATGGCAGACAACAGAATGCACATAACTCAGAATAGGTAGAGGCACGTATTACACAGATACCATCACAGCCTGAACACTGGATTTGACAGTGAAGCTCCCATTTGTGTGTGAACAAGTCAGAATATTCCAGATTTAAATTTGTCCCATTCAAAGAATTTTCATATAAACTTAACACTTTTAAAAACTTTGGGTGACTTTTTTTTCTTTCTTAGGATCAGTTTTTGGTTTTGGTTTAAAAAAAAAAACGAAAAAAGGCTTTTGGTTTCACCACACCTGTCTCTTCTTAAAAGGAAGACTCATCAAACTGTCTGATGATCCCCATAAAAGACAACGACCTCTAGTGTCCCCTTTACATATTCTCCCTTCTTTAAGGTACAGTGCGTATTTTATTAGATACAAAACCTCCTTGCGCGAACGTCATCCGTACACCACCACCTTCACAGCAGCGGTTCTCCAGAGGGTCTACTGGTGTTTTACAACAGTGCCTGCAGGGTTTCCTCCCCACTGCTTTCTCTGAGGAGTAGCTCTGCCACTTATCCTAACCCTGCTGCACACGTAGATTAAGAGCTTGGGCTCTGGAATCTGCATTACCAAAGTCCTGGTTTCCACTACTTAAAAGCTGGTAATTTTGGGAAAGTCACTCAAGTTTTCTCAGATGTGATGTGAGACTAATAACAGCACCTAATCTAAATGACCATTCTGAGAATTAAGTAAGATAGTAGAACATGATCTTTGCAGAAGGCCTGGCATATAAACAGGGCTTCTTCTTATTATTTAATACCTTCTAATACCATTCAAAACATGCTCAAGTCTCTGTGGAGGTGGCTTTTCCATTTCAGATCCTCCCAGCAACCACTTCTCTTTCCGCTTCTCTTTGTACATTTCCCCTGCTTCACTAATGCACTACAATTGTCCTTCCTGCCACTCTACTGAAACTGTTCTCATCAGAGTCACCTCTTTAATAAATAGAGCAGTAAGCAAGCACATCTATTAATTTACGTGCAGTATATAAATACACATTTCACATTTTACAAAACAGAACGGAAATAAAATATACTCAAGCATTCTAAAATCCACCAAAACCAATTTGATATATACTTTTGATTTTAAAACAAAAATTTGAACACAAATTCTCCCCATATCCTTAGACCACTGCTATTAGAAAATTTAATAGGAAAAATATAAACAAACACCAATGTTCTACAAGAATCACAATCAACCTTTTAGTGCAAAATGCCTAATCTTCCAAAATAAAATTTAAATTAATGAGTTATTTGTCACTAATTCCCCAGATATAGTTTTAGATGGGTTATGACAAAACGAATAATGTGAATCACCTTCTTTGGGCTATAAATACAAAGCAGCTTTCCCAACTTTTTATTTGGAAATTTGATAATTAAAAAAAAATAGTTGTCAAGTAAAAATATTAGTCAATAAATACTGGCATAATTTTTTGCTATTAAAAGTTTTAATTTAAATTAAATGTCACATATAAAACACAGATCCTGAGGATAAGTAAATGTATCCATATTAAAATAGGCTAAAATGCAAGATTATATGAAAGTTTAGGCAGAGTAGATATAGCTCAAGTGATAGAGCTGCATGCTTAGTATGCACAAGGTCCTGGGTTCAATCCCCAGCACCTCCTCTAAAAATAAATAAATAAACC